ACGAATGGAAACAGAAATGATGAAATGATAGATAGATTCTAAAAAGAAAAAACGAGCTGGCAAGCAGCCTTTTCCTCTCTCACTCTTTGCCTCTGATTTTCCTCTCTTTTTTAAACTTCTTTCCCCCTGTTCTCACTTCATCGTCACCACCACTTTTACATCCGCACAAATTACAAGCAGCCACATTTAAGAAACATGACATTTTTAATTTCATCTTTTCTTTCACTAAAGAGCTACAAACAATACAAACACAGAGAACAATGAAAATAAAGTGCAAAGTCCTTTGGTGTCAAGTTTGAAAAAAGAGAATTCACATCAGGGTGTTCAGCTACTTCTCTGTGGTCTCTTCATTCTACATAGTAAAAATAAAATACATTGACATTTGAGAGATTCATTAAAGTAAAACTAATCTGAGAGAATCTGTGGGCAGAAGACAAAGACAGTGCGATGCCAGGTGAACCAGATTTATCAAGGAATATTGTTTATTGATATAAATCTGCCCTGAATAATGCTGGCAACCATTATCATCCAGCACACTGTCTTTATTTTCTACTAATTCTACATTTACTTATGAAAATATAGAGTTCTCCTTTATGCAGAAATGTACACACTTATGACCAACTACACATTTTCTTCTTTGTATTAGTAGTGACGGAACATCAACGAACAGTACAAACAATAAGAAACTTAATGGAGTCTATACTCTAAACATGCTTTCTTCATGCAACATCCTTCATGTGATCCATTGCATCTGTGTCTGGTACCATTTTGTTCATCGTGTGTGTTTTTGTACACCAAAATGACGTACATCCATGTAGTGACCAGCAGTGGCTCAGTTGGTGAAGATTGACAGTGATAAATCTGACGTCACGTGGTTGAGTGTCCACAGGATTCAGTCAACACCATAGACTGTATATAAAGGTCAACACGCACCGTGTGTGGTCACGGACGAGGCCAACGCATCAGTCAATGCCAGTTGTGAGACTAGAGCGCAGTCTTGGTGCTATGTGTTCCCTAATGATGGAGTTTCATGTATGGTGACCACGGTGGAGCTACTGGTGGTGCTGAAATGCTCTATGTGGTTCTCCTCCACGCTGGTCAGCTCCGCTCTGGGCAGATGGAAGCTGTTATCTGAGACCGGGTTGGAATTTGCGAAGGTGCCCGACACGGAGTTGACTCCCAGAGTGCTTAGCGGCATGCTGCTCTGAACTGTGGACTGTGACGTCTTTGGACGAGGTTTGGTGCTCCCTCCCAGGACTCTGGATGCATGCGTCCACCTGGAAACAATAAGACCAAATTAAAATAGATCTCACATTGCTCATGTCTTGCAGGACATTATTTTTTAATATATAGCAGCCTTCTAGTCTGATTTTGCTAGTAGGCCTTTTACTTCAGTGGAAAACTTACAAAAAAGGAAAAGGAAGTGAAATAGGAAAGAAAACAACGGTAAAACAAAACTGAATAAAACAATCCATATTTTATAAAAATGTTTTGGCTTGTGTTGCCCTAATATGAATCTTAACTTACACGTTACTGTATTCTATTCTCATTTATCATTTTGTGACCCTTAGATTAATGATACGACCGCTTGGGGGGTCTCAACCCACCCCCCAGCTTTACAATGGCAAAACATTACAGAGCACATTTATTTACATCTGTTGTACCCACAGTAAAAACAGACACGAGGTACTTTTATGAGCATTCTTTCATTTTGTGAAACATAATGATTGTCAGCTGTAGTTAATCTTTACTTTTCACTTTAAAACTTCACACACAACACAACTTTCATCTTTTCGTATATAAGGAATTTTTATGACTTACACTAACAAAGATAATAGAAAGCAGATATAACCAGCTGAAGTACACGATAAGAGGCTTAATAATAAAATAATTATTATGATAATAGTTTAAGTTCAAGATAATAGTTCAAGATAAAATTAATCACAGAAATGAACTGACCAGGTTTATTCTACTAATGACTTCATGGTTGAAGTTCATTTTGCATATAATATTCAAAAACATTTCTGCCATCTGTGCAGACTTCTAACATCTGCACTTCTCTCAGACTTTATTTATAGAGTCCAAAGTGTCCAGCTAGCCGGTCAATACAACCCAAGGTGTCATGAGATAAATCCGAGGGGTTGGAGGAACAAAACAACAGAAACATGTGCCTCTGACTTTTCTCTAAACTTTCAGACTAAACAGTCTAAAAGGGGAACAGCCCTCTTTGGTTGTACAGTTTTCATGTGATGGGTGTGAAGAAGACTGTGTCATTTTAAAAAGGTTACACATCAAAACTCAACATGAATCAATATAATGGAGTGAATATGAATTTAATGACATGGGTGATGGTTTTTTCTTTTGTCTCACAGATGGAGCCTAATGAAAAGATAAAAATAAAAGAAGGTGTCTATTGTTCCTCTGATAAAAATAGCATGGCTGTTGTTGTACGGCTAATGACACTCAGAGTGCAGGAATTGTGGTGTCAAACTGGAATGTGGCTTTACCTGTTGTACGTCTTCAGGATGATCAGTAGAATGGCGAGAATGATGATGATACCTATGACGATGACAGCGATCATAGCCCCAGAACCTGACAGACACAGAAAAAGGAAGAATGAATCAGACTTTGTATTTTGTCCCTTCTCAAATTTGCATTTTACATTTCATAACTGCTCCACGTGATACAACTTATGTTGTGTGCACTCCCAAGTTATTTCGCGATGTTTAGCAATGAGATTACTCACAGGCAAAGGGAACATTAAATTATGTTTAATGTTCTATTAAATCCACAAGTGCCGCTCCCATACAAGACTGCATGATGCAATATGTTATTTAAGAGGCTTGGCTTATATAAAATGTTTTTTAATCTGAAGTTCCGGGAGAGGACACAGCTCTGATGGTTGACATAAACACTTCACATAGATGTCTTATCAATATGCAACTGAAGAAGACAAAACACAAACATGAAGGAGGTATCCTTACTCTGGATGAGGATTTGTTCTTTGGACTTCGTGACGGTGGTGTTTGAAGTTACAGTAGGGTTGGTCACAGGTGAAACAGTTGAAGCTTGCATCTTCAGCAATAACCTACAAAGACAAAAAAGAAAGAAGCCACTTTAATCAAATAAATAAAGTTAAACGTGAGGATCAAGGACCAACAACGAATTCTACGGTCATACTACAGATTAAACAAGAACATAAATCTAGAACTAGAATGGCACTCTTATGAAAGCACAGTTAAATTCACTTGATTCATATTTTAATTTGGATCTGCACCAAATTTTTCACACTCATACATGTGAATATCAGTCCTTGATATGTCGAATGTTTTTCACCCTGTCCTGTAATAACAGAGAAAGTGAAAGAAAATCCTAGATCATGATACAGATCTGCACCAAGTTGTAATGGGTTCTTCCCTGACCCATACCACAGCCCTTCACCAAGTTTCGTGGGAGACTGTAGAGTAGTATTTGTGTAATCCAGCCCAATATCAGACACACTCAAATACATAACCTCCTTGGCAGAGGAAATGACGAAACAAGGATATTTAAGTTGAGGACAAAAATATCTGTGCGACACAACTCTGATGCGTAGCAGAGGGAGAGGCACCAATGAATGAAGGTTAAATAGAAACCACAGGAATGAGGAGCCTCACCAGAACATATGAAACAATAATCAGTGCGAACATCATCACCAAAGAGCAGATGTGCAGGCCAAATTACAGCCGGCGTTCCAGTTCATAATGCAGACTAGGAAGGGGTTATTAATAGGTTTGTGGCCTAAGGTAGAAGGAGATGAATCATGCAGCTCTCGTTACTTGCACATGAAGTTCAACTCTAGTGATTATGCAGAAAGTTTGAAGTAAGCACCTTTGTGGAATTTCTAGGTCAGGTGATTGAATATTTTAAGTCAGCGCTCTGTGTCATCGGCTACAGAGGTCCACGAGAACATGTTGGCTCCTTCAAACAGCTGGATGAAGAATTCTGCAACTGTATTCAACATGACAGAGTAAGCCTGGAAAATGATTCCCGCCCCCCGGCCTGGATAAGCCGGTCAGGTTTGGGCTGGTCACAGGGCTGATAATATGTTAAACGGATGACTCATAAAATTATCCATTTTGAACAATGCAACGTGTTCTGTGATGTTTTAATCTGGATCGACATCTAATCTGCTGTGTTGCAATTGTTATGAGTCATGCGGGTATCCTCTCACGTTAAGGAGGATCCCTGATAAGAGCTGCAGGTCAGGGCTGTCCCCGTAACTGATACTTTCCCTGAGTCAGGATAATGTTCCTTTGCATGCAAAGAGATGGAGGTTATGCAAACTTCCCATTAAATAAATATACAGACAGTCACTTTGTGTTCGATGTCTACGTGTGATTGTATTTAGATTTCCACTGAGTCTAGAAACGTCAGTGGCCATTTCTAATGTACCAGAACTTAACGAGCGTCATCATGGGAGTTCCTCAACCTCTTTTTCAAACAACGTGACGTAAAACGAAGTGCAAAGTCAAATTATAATGATGGTACACATAATTATATTTAATTATACGACCTGATTCCTCAGCATGGAATCACAGAGAAGGACAGCTTTGTACAGTTCTTATTTTTATTGACATATGAAATAATTTTCTTCGTGTTCATTACTCATTTAAAAACTTCAGTGACTAACCCTGAAATCATACAGGGTGTAAACTTGGTGCTGTCAGAGAAATGACAGGCTTTGCATTTATGGTGGACGTCTCATTTGGTCACTAGGACTTAAAACACATTACAATTAAAAAAGACTTTGCTTCCTTCCAACAGAGCAGTTTCCCCCTTTACTTATGTATTTATGCTTAGCTTAGCTTAGCTAACCTGCTTGCATGTTGAACAATTCTTCTAAAATCATGCTTTCCTTTGTAGCAAATGCTTATAAATATCCTTTGCACCAGAAAATACAGTTTTAGTTTTAATCACACGAAACACATATTCTGAGATTATATTTCTTTTTCCGACTCCTCATTCAATGATTATTCCGATATTGTGTTTTAACATGTAATGGACTCAGCCATTAATGGAGCGTAAAGGTTTACATTTCACCTATAGACTCTCATTGTGAAGGGACCTCTTTACAACCTCATCCATGGATTTTGACTGGACAATTAAAGCCAGTACCCGCACCTTATGTGTAATGCACGTCTTATCCATCTTCCTGCTCTATGGCAAATATTACAGAACCAACTCTCCCCGTGTTGACACACTATTAAGCAGAGAAATTAGTACTGACATATGCCAGGTTTGCTGTTTGCAGAGGTGACAGCTCCTGATAAGTGGCCAAGTGATCTGAATGAGGTTGATAACACCATTGCTTTTGTTACTGCGTGCTGGTGATGTGGGCAATGCTATGCTTAAAGGGCTTTGTTCAATACGGACAATATGGTGCGAAGTGATGTGTGTCCATTTACTATACACTTATCAGCTTAAATGCACCAAATGTACAGTCGGTTAATGTGAACATTTATGGTTGAAATGTCTAGTTACCACATTAAAGAGACCTGATGAGACCCCATGAGATGGACTCTGTACCTTTGTGCTGTCACATTAAAGTGCACGAGATATATATTACATTTATTTATGTTGGATAGTACTGTAAGCTACTTGTCTTTAGCAACTTTCAAGCTGATGGGGCCGATCAAAGATGATATCATCATATACATGTTTATCAGTTTTAATCAGCTTTCTGCCAAACCTTTGGTTATGTAGGCTGTAGGTGGATGAAAGAACCATTTTGTGCTTCAATGCACATCACATGACGTCAACTGGAAACTGTATCAATCCAACAAACTGAGATTGTGTGTATCACTGGCATCTCCAAATAAAAACTGTCTTGTGCAGCGCAGCATGATTCTGACAGGGATTATGTGTGTGTGCCAGTCAGGTGAGGGCATGATCGGAGTGACATTCCTTTCCAAAGCCTACCCACGTTCAAACAAAACCAACTGCTGCAGGAGCTTGAGATAAAATGTCAAATATTTAATAGCTTCTTTGACTGAGATGCTCTCGTTAGAAAATGGTTGAGATGTATGTAACTGTAGCCCTGGCAAAGGCAGACATTAAATTAGGGACGGGTGGGTGTGTCGACTCCTACAGAACAGAGTGTTCCGACAGAAGTGGGTAATTCATCCAATTGATTGTAGGTCATATTGATGCGTAGGTTTGGTGTGGCACACTTCACATAAGGATCTGGTTACCCTTACCTTACCTCACCTCCAGTACAGTTAACACACTTCATACTCCAATAAGTAATGCCACAGATTCAAATATAGAGAATAGAGAATCTGCTCACTTTGCTGGCAAACTACATATGAAGTATTTCTACTGGTGAGCAAAGGTGGGCATCTATACTTTCTCGCCTAAATCTACACACCACGGAGGGACAGTTGGTGTATCAACTGTTGGTGTCTAGTCTTATTTAATTTCACTCCACAAATTGCTTTAAAAAGAATGACACGCTCGATAGTGTGTTACAAATGTTACACAGCACCAGACTCAATAGTTAGTTTGCATATAAACAGTTTTGTTTACTGACTGAAGTAGCTCCAGGAAGCTGTAGAGTCACATTCTTTATTGTCACAGAGAGGGCAAATGTATCAGGGAAGTTGAAATATGACTGACAGTAAAGCTTGATGGCTTTGTTGATAATGGCAGGTAGTAACTTCAAAAGGTGAGAAAGAACTGATACCAACATGGATACGGTAAATTCAGATTTAAACACAGGATACTGATACCGTAATGTAAAAAAACAAAAAGTCAGACATATCGATTATTAATTGGCAGTATTGGACACAAGAAGAATATTGTAGATTCTATATATGTGTAATTGCATTGTTATTATCAGAGTAGGATTTATGCAGTCGGACTTTATATATGTATTCATTTTTTTATATGTATGTTTATTTAGATGATATACATATTGACATTTATACATAAATATACATATTTATATATAATCTATTGGAACTTCTGGGTAAGTTATGATTTGAATAAATTATTATTTTCTAATTTAGCTGTAGTTTTTGGTGGAAAGGGGATTTGTAGCTCAAAGTAATCTGATGACTTCTCTCTGATGTCAGTATCTTCTTCACTGTAATAACGTCTGTTTGTTGTTCTACCAAACACAGCTCTTCACCTGCGCTGCAGATTCAATATCCTTTCTTCCACCCTCAGTAAACAAATCATTTATTGGTCTGTTGAGAGAAGCGAGAGAGCAGGAACAATTTAGTTTCCTCTTTTTCTTCTCTCTATGTGAGGAAACACCAGACAAAGCTCGTAAGCGGCTCAACTATTTCCCCCCTCCGTGCGTTTTCATCCACACATCAGGAACAACACGGTCTCCTGTTCATAAACACGTTCATAGCGTGACCTTCGCCAAATTATGTTTGGAGTCAATATTTGAAACAGGTTAATAAGATACAGATGGGATAATTAGTTCAGCTCTGCCTGGGAGAACAAACACGCATGCAGAGAGGTTGTCTGTATCACATCAGATGCAAACATCCCATATACTAAGACTTGTTTTCCAGATGTCACATTAAAGGGACATTTAAGTACATCGTTTATCGACCTCAGTCACTGAGGGATCTGCAGCAGCACTCACAGTGCTTGCACGACATGCATTGGCCTGTGTTAGATGTGAATGATGGAGTGAGGTCAGAGATTAATTAAAAAAGGCATGTGTTGTAAAACTGTGATAAATCACAACTGAAATTCAGCTCATGAGAGTGAGTTTTGGCAGAAGTACTGTTCATTCTTGGACTAAACTCAACATGTAGCATTAAATTAAACACTGCATTGCCCCTGATAGATTTACAAATATCCTGATGGTGATTTTAAAGTACAACTTTCAACAATAATCAAACACCAAACTCAATTCCAACTAAAATGGCACATACCTTCATGAATCCACATTTGAATTCACTTGATTTTTATTTGGATAGAAAAGTGGCAGGACAGGCATTCTTCGGGGGCCTAGTGCCCCCTGTTCCCACCCCTGGATTTGTCCCTGGATAAAAGCATAACCTCCCTGTTGGAGGTAAATTGTATGAATTTTAAAAATGAAATAGGACTGACGAGTGTGTTTGCACAGCAGCTTAGGTTAGAATGTATTCCTCTTCTGGTTATGGATGACAAATGGATATTTATAGAAAAGACAACTAAAAGAAAAATGCAGTGGTTAGATGGGGCAAACGTGCCATCCTTCATGTCAGTAACTGTCATTGTCTAATATGGCTGGGTGTTAAACAGAGTGACAAGCGTCTGTTGTGACACAGAAGAGGAGAAAAAAGTTGGTATACTGGTATGTGTGGTGCAAAGGGATTTCTAAAGCTTGCATATTTTCAAACAATGCTTATCAGAGTAAAAATGATAACATAAGAAGCTTTGTGTTTACCAAATACTGAGGGAGCCAGAAGATTAATTTCTTTTTCATGGGAAGGTTTTCATTCGAATGTCTCAGACAGGGTTGGGCTGTGATGAACACTATGATGGAAACATGTGGTGGCTTACAAAACCTTTGAAGGAATAATTTTGTCATTAAAATGAGATCATATCATATCATTAAACCTGCATAGAGGAAGTAGCTTGTTTATTGAACTACACCAGTGTAATTTTAGATTCTTTAAAGGTTCAGTGTGTAGAATTTTGTGATATCTAGTGTTGAAGTTGCATGTTGCAGCTGAATACCCCTCACCTCACCCTCTCCTTCCAAACATGAAAAAGAACCTGTGGTAGCCTTTAATTGTCATAAAAACTCAAAAGGTGTTTAGTTTGTCCAGTCTGGTGTAATGTAAAAAACATGGCGGCCTCCGTAGAGGAAGTCCCCTCCATGTAAACATATAAGGTATTTAAATATAAAGGGTCTTTTCTGGGGTAAAGAAAACTACAATTCATACAATTTAGATGAAATAAACTGGTGAAAACATCATGAGGATTATTCTACATTCAATTTCTGCCGATAGTTCCCTTTCACCTAAATCTTACACACTGGACCTTTAAGTTTTTATTGTTTGGAGGGTTTCCTTTTTCTTCTTACATTTGTCAGACTTGCACCCCAGACAATGTCTAAGAACAGAGCAGGAGATTGTTTTACTAGGGTGCTGACAGAAGTAGAAAAAATGTCCAGGGCAATGATTCGGACATTTGCAAGTGCAAGTCTGAAAACAGGTCACAGTGACCTTCACCTCTAACCACCAAAGTCTAATCAGTTCATCCTGGAAACTGTCGGGTTTCTCTACCATTTTTAACATCTCATTCAGATAATGTATGCTATGATTTGACAATATACAATTCAAATTTAATTGAGTTGAACTTATACATTTAGATGAGTGTATAAAATTAAAATAACAACATATTACTTTATCTAACTAAAACTGACATTTTACAGTGATCCAAACTGTATTTTTAGCCACATTTCTGAGCATTCGTTCAGCTCAATGAGTCACTATAGCCTAATTTCATGAGTGAAGAGAAGTAAGACACATTAAAGAACAAATATTTGTTCTATTCTACACAGACAAAGCTGGCAATAGTCAGTAATCAGCTTTAACAAAGCTAAGAACCTAAAACCATCATCTTTCTTCCTATGTTCCATGCAGACTGACACTGTTGAGCTTTGAATTACAGCAGCAGCACTGTACAAACAGTTGTCATATTTTTATATAATATGGCTCCTGATGATATAGATGATAAGAGCAACCGGTCCATCAGACCGTCTCTTATCATTAAGAGACACACACACACACACACACACAC